TCTGTCCAGTTCCCTTTCTCCCCGCCCCCCCCCCCCACTTGCTTGTGGTTGCCTGGCTGGCTGTCCTGGGGAGCAGACAGGGAAGGGTTAAGCTGCCGGTTCAGCCCCTATGGGCTGCTTCTCTTCTCTGGGGTGAGCAGCAGCAGCAGGTGGCCAGGCAGGGTAATCATTCCCTGCTTGTTCCCTGGATGGACAATGTGGGCAGCCACAAGAAAGTGGCGGACTGGGGAAAGGGGGCAGTGAGCCCAATCTAGGACAGCATGGGGGTAGGTGGGGTGTTTACACTACTGAAGTGTAGCCTAAAGTGGCTAAACCTTAGTGTAACATTAGCTGGGCTAACAGGGATCAGAGATAATCCTGCCGTGGGTAACTTTGAGCCATCTAATGAGTGCTTAAAACTAATTTCAGGTGTTTGATGTGCAGACAACCCGGGTGTTAAGAGCTCCAGGAGCTGCCCAGAATTACCATTTAATAAGGTTCTTAAGTTTCCATATATAGTCTTATCTCTACCACTAATGACTGAAATGCTTAACCAGGCAATAGTAGTGTTTGCTGTACTTCTCTGATGGATTGTGAAGGGACCTGAAAACATCCTTCCAGGAGGAAGTAGAACTGCAGGAATACCTTTGTTCTAGGGAAGTGAGAATGTGCTTGGATCCTGCTCTGATCCAGTGTGCTGTAAGGAAATAGAGCCTTCTCTTGAGGCCCCATGTGACCTTATTATAATATCAACTAGTCCAGCTGCAGGAAACTTGCAGGCAAGGAGGCACATTCATGTTTGTGTGTGTTTTTGTTAGGTAAAAGTTTAGATGGATGGCAACTTGTAGTGTACTCTGAACAGAGCCAACTGGGGATAGTAAGGGCTGGACTCTTTTGCCTACTTGGAAATTCTGATCTCTTTGCTTCTTGATAAATAGTATATTTTCCTAAGCCAGTTTTTGGGAGATAGCATAAATAGAAAAGGATAGACAGTTGGTAACAATTAACAGAGTTCCAGCTTTTGGTCAGGTTCTTCTATTCCTCATACCTTTTCTTCTAAGGCATATATGCTGCCAGCTGCTTTCAGAGCTGTTGACACGGTTGTTACATCCAGGGTACTGATGTTTCTTCAGCAGCTGGATATAGACATTTAGAAGTTATTAAAGAGTTTGAGTTCACCTGTAGTCTCTGGGTTAATGTACTCTGCTTGAGCTGTCAGGGTATTGGGTATAAAATATTTCAGGTAACTCTTAAGTCCACTTCCTGTGAGTGGGGTTCACATGGCCCCTAAAGTACAGCAGGCAAGATAGAGGGGATGAAGTCTTGCAACTACTGATTTGAGAGAAGTGGGTGGTGATTTTTGGTGGCTTTTTTGGCCTTGATTTTATTACCCTTGGTTGAATTGTTTTTCTAGCAGGTAGAGCAGCTTATATAGACTCTTACAGAAAAGGCAAGTATTATGGCCTGATACTGAGTGAAAACCTGGAACTGCAGAAATTAGTAATGGCACCAGGTGGCCTAAGAGAGTATCAGCTGCTGGGGAGTCCTAGAGGGGCTGGAAACTTGCAGTCTAAGCCCAGCTGTACAGCCTTGGGCAAACTGATGCCTTGCTCCCATCTACCACTCAGTCTGACCTATACTCTCATACGTTCATTGTAGGGATATTGAAACACTAACCTTCAGCTGCTCAAAAGATGGCAGGTCCTGGTGGAGGAATGGGCATTGTTCTAGCTTGTAAAGTGAAACAGCAGCTTCACGGAATGTACAACAACCTCCAGTATAATTTTGAACATTTTATCGTCTACCTTGAATTTAGACCTGCTGGGGTAGGAAGCAAGGGACTGGCTTACACACCTTGCAGATCTAAGGGATAGCTACTTTGGAGACAGGGGGCAGAAACGTGAGCTGACAAGGGGCTTGGTGCCACTACTTATGAATACTGCTGCATTGCTTCCATGAATGCAGAGCTTGTTCTCACAGATTATTTCAATTTAGAGGGACTGTTGCATGTTGTCTTCTGGGCAGGTGGGAGTACCTACCCTAATCCTACCTCTCTTACTTCTACATCAGCTGTAAGCTTTGCCTATATGATGTCTTTTGCTCACATGCTGCTGTTCTACAGCTCTGAAGGATATGCTCCATCTGAAAGACCTCATACTAAATAAAGTTGGATCCTCCCTCATGGGAAGGAATAGAGTTTTGCAGCTTCCTGTTTTCTTTAATGCTGTTGGTTTTAAGAACTGCTGGCTGGCCTCAGGGGGATGTGTTATCTGAGAAGGCCCCTGGACTGTTGTTTACAAGCTTAAGTTAGGTCAGCATCTGCTGTTCTTGCAAGGACAGAAGGCTGGATCATCATTTGGATATCAGAGGGTGAAAGGCCTTTGCTCCCAAGCTGCAGTTGCTGTGGGCCCAACACACCACTTTGCTTCAGCTTGATTGTCAACATCATGAAGAGTCTGCTCTGGTGCCAGGAAGCCATGTGTCCTGTTCCTGCTCTACTACTGGGACTGTGGCTAGCAGAGTCTTACCTGTAAGCTCATAAGGCAGAGATTCTTGCCCCAGGGGATCTTTTTTTCCTCTTTCCTGCAACAACACATATGTAGTAGCCTATCTGCATTTAGTCCTTTGGCTGGATTTCAAAACCATGCATCTGTCCCCAGGAGAAATGATATAACCCTATTTTCAGCAGACAAGTAATTTAACCATCTGTTCTCTAGGTCTTACTAGCCATAATGAAGACAGAGGCAACCTTTATTTTCTCTGCACAAGTGTGTGCAGAGGTTAATTTTATTTTCTAGTATGAAAAGCAGGAAGAGGAAATACTGACATGAGGGCTACAGAGGTGCAGTAAGAACTAAATCTAAATACTGGTTCTGTGTTGGCTGCACAGGTACACGGAATTGCTACTTGTTACAAAAGACACTTGTTAAGTCCATGAAGAAAGTAATCTTGGTTCTGAGCTGCTCCAGTGATAAGAGGTAAATTATTCTGGAGTACTGGACAGATGCTAGAAGAGAATACTGATGCATAAGGAAGGGACCACACAGGTCCCACTAGCACCATCTCAGCCCTGGCCTGGAGGCTGGGGGAAGGGCCTGGGGAGGGGGTGCGGGGGGGACTCTGCTCTGCAGAGGTTATAGGGGATTCAGTTGCCATCCTGGCCTAAGATGGATTGCTCCTGAGCAGACAAGGCCAGGGGCACCCCCACAAGAGGGAGAGTGGTCATTGATATGAGTAAATATCTGCTGAGGAGACTGGTAAGCTTTATAAACTCCCCGAGACATTCATCTTGCCTGCACAGGGGTTGTCAGCATCTCGCTTGGTTCCAGCTGTGCTGAAGCAAGAGGAGCAGCAGCAGCTTTCTTGGGTTGGGCAACAGGCTTCCCCTGTTCAAGTTCTATATATCAAACAGGACAATAGTGCAAAAGTAGTAGAGCACATGGTGCTATTTCAACCAAGCAGACTTGCACAACAAACAGACAGGGTATAGAACCTACCCTGTTTGTATCTAGTCCCTAGACACCAGGCTGCTCTGAATACTTCAATCATAAGAAGCAACTTGCTAAAGTGACTGGCCCAAATCAGGAGCAAAAGCCAGTGCCCTTGGAGCTTCCAGCCACTAGAAATAGTAAACTGAATGCTTCCTTCTAATCCAAGCTTTTGCCTCCTGGCAGCAGAGGATTCTTCAGTATAGTTTCTTTGATTTAAAAACAGTTGTGACTGGATTTACACAACACGTGAACCAGTGATCGTTTAGACGGGAGTCTGGTCAAGGTTTTCAACTGAAAGACTAAGCCAACATTCTTCACATGACACAGATCTGGTAACAGGACTACAGCTACTGTGCAAACAACTTACTGCTCCTTTTCTCTGCTCAATACAAACAACAACCAGCCAAGGCTGTGGGGTCACTTACTCTAGCTGTGGGAACTGAGTACACTACCAAGATGCGCTATATGTGCACAGTGGCATAAGAATAAAATAATCACTTTAACACAGTATCACACCTTTTCTAGCTGGGGCTTGTCAGGGTTTGACAAGGCTCAAGTATTGCAGCTTCTGGTGAAGGTGTGCTCTCACACTTAGCTTAGCTTAGCAGCTCAGTGTGCTTAAACCAGGGTAGAGTTACCCCCTTTAGAAGGAATCTGTTGTTTTATACTTGCTAGCACATTCATCTGAAAAAGTCCTCAAAGTTGCCAGTTGGGCTGGTGTCAGAGGCCCTATCTATTCCCAGGCCACCTTTTACTAGGACAGGCTGTGTTTTAAGTCCAAAATCCATACTGAGAAATGTTCTTGCTAACAAGAATTCAGCACCTGTTAAAGTAAGGCCTTTCCCTTTAAGCCTACATAGGCTACATACATAGTACAAGCAGGGTCTAGCCCTTCTTGGTGTATGGAGGCACTTCCTTCTGGTTTCAGA